TCATAATTTGTGTTCTACTGAAGAAACAAAGTCACCTACATCTTGTATGCCCTGGGGATAAGCAGATAAACATCAAATTTTCATTTTTGGATGAACTATCCCTTTAAATGAAAATAATTCAATTTCATGCTGATTTTAAGTTTGTTTGAAAGCATGAATTTCTATATTTATTTATGTGGATGGTGGGGACTAGTGATATGGCATCAAATATTTTATATACTGTATGTACAGTCATAAAAAGTGAAATTCATATATTACATAAATATATTTTTGGTGCCATGGAATAAATATAAACTGTCCCCAAACTTCTGAAAATTATGTTTATGCTCACCCAGGCTGCACTTATTTTATCAATAATACAGTAAAAACAGTAATATTGTGAAATATTATTACAATTTAAAATCATTGTTTCCTATTTTACAATTTTACAGTAAAACAGTAATATTGTGAAATTATTACAATTAAAAATAATTGTTTCCGATTTTACAATTTTACAGTAAAACAGTAATATTGTATTATTACAATTTAAAATCATTGTTTCCTATTTTACAATTTTACAGTAAAACAGTAATATTGTGAAATTACAATTTAAAATAATTGCTTCCTATTTAACAATTTTACAGTAAAACAGTAATATTGAGAAATTACAGTTTAAAATAATTGTTTCCTATTTTACAATGTAATTGTATTTTCAGCTGTGATTACTTCAGTCTTTAGTGTCGCGTGATGCTTCAGTAATCATTGTAATATGCTGATTTGCTGCTCAACAAACATTTCTTATTATTAATGTTAAAACAGTTGTCCTGCATAATATTTTTGTGGAAGCAGCGCTACTTTTTTCTTTGATGACTAGAAAGTTCAAAAGAACAACATTTATTTAAAATAGAAATCCTTTGCAACATTATAAATGTCTTTACTGTCACTTTTGAACAATTTATTGCATCTTTGCTGAAAAAAATATGAATTTCTTTCATTTTTTTTCTTTCTTTTAAATAGTATAGCATATAGGAACTTATTTTAAATATACATGTTGCCTCAAAATTCAAAAGTATCTAAAAAACAAAAAGTGCATTGTTCATTGTTGAAATAAGTAATAGATGTCTCACCTGGGCCATGGATGGGGAGTGCAGGGGCAGCGGGTGGCTGCTGAGCTGCTGTTGTTGCTGGTGGAGACTGAGGTGCTGGTGTAAGGGGGGGCTGATCTGCAGCGGAGGGGGGGACGAGTCCGTCATGCTGCCCATGTTCACCACTCCTGGCATGGGAGCGTTGGGCCGGGATGCACCACCTCGGGCTAGGCCTGGCTGCATCGGGGGCAGGTGGGGACTGAGTCCTGGCTGCTGGTGGTACGGAGGAGCCATGTAGAGACCTGGGTGAGACTGGCCTGCCCCGGAGAAAACTGGTGGCTTGGGTCCGAGCATCTGAGAGGCCTGTGATGCCTTCACATCGCCTGGGTCATTGTAGCTCTAGAGAAAGTTAAAAAAGTGGTTTAGTTGTTGGTTGCATAAATGTTAAACAGGCTTCTTGGGTTAATCATTCTCTGCTTTTAAATGCCTGATGAATGTTGCATGACCTAAATGTTTCTTTTAAATATATGTGTATATACTATTTACTAAACACTAAATATATAGTATATACTAAATGCTAAATATATATGTATGCATAAATTTGATACATTTTAAATTTTTTAATTATTTAAATGTTTATTTAAAAATGTATAAAATCTAGTGCTCGTCCAAAATAAAAGTTTTTATTTACATAATATGTGTGTGTACTGTGTATATTTATTATGTATATGTTATGAATTTAAAATATATGTTTATATAATAAATATATAATAAATATATTTATATACAATATAAATTATATTAATATAAATATATACATGTAAATATTTTCAAAATATATACTCTATGTGTGTGTATTTATATATATACAATACATATACACAGTACACACACTGTCAGTTCAGTGAATTACAATTCACAGCAAGCACCTCAGATTTCAAATATGGCCGCCTTGGACTCCATATCCCAGAATACTTGGCAGCGCTCTAAATCATCTGACTTCTGATTACATGCACATGCAAGCAATTCACACTGATTAGACACCCTATATAAAGAGACTCTCAATTCCACATGCTTTGTGAAGTATCAACTCTTTACCTGGTGTTGTAACTTGTCTACGCCTTTTGGATACTTTATGTTCTCCTGGTGTTTTTGGACTAAGACCTGTACTTTGGATTATTGCTCTCAGTTTCCTGTTCATCTATTGCCTGACTACTGCCTGCCCTATTTTGGATTATGTCCTTTGGACTATTTGGCTTGCTCTATTCTCAATAAAGAGATCATACCTGCAGTTGTGTCTGTCTACTGATCCTTCCCTGACACACACATATATTATGTAAACAAAAAGTTTAAAAGTTTTATTTTGGATGCGATTAATCACAATTAATCGTTTGATAGCACTAGGTGTCCTTGTTACAGTTATAAATATACACTTAAGTACTGAGTAATATTAATTAACTGAATGAATTTACTATATGATTAGGGTTAGGATTAGGGTTACTTGCATGTAATTGTGCATAATTTATTGTTATTATAATAGTATGTAGGCTACATGTTTTAAGTACTATGAGAGGAACTATTAATTTCAAATAGTCTTAAGTACTTTGAAAATAAACTTTGGGGAGTAACTAGTTACATGTAACAGAAATACGTAATTTAATTAACAAAATAAATGCTGGAATCACTTACAGTTACTGAGAAAAAAATGTGTAATTAAATTACAGTTACTTATGAAAAGGTTAAAGATTACAAAGGGAATCATTTTCACACACAAACAGATTTGATTGATTTCTTTCCAAAATAGCACTGACTGCTCTAAAATTTGAGACACCGATTTTTCAGGAGTTTAGGACAGAACAGGACACATGCTTATTTGATAATATTTTATTTCCTATTTGGGTTTTATTTATGCTTTATTTTTTAAGATTAACAGGTTTTTTTTTCCCCCAAAAAGAATTATTAGAAGCCAGCGTTTCCTGTCATAACTATGTAAAGATTTGATTTCAAAAACATTTGCATAGCTATTAAACTATATCTTATGATTAAATCTGTATTTAACCACAGAACAATCTCAAAGTAAAAATAGGTGCTAAAGTCTGATTTAGTGGTGGCTATGCTTTAAAATTAAATGATTATAATCTTAATTCAAGTGAAAAGGGATTTTGAAAGTCTGACATTAATTAGTGTTTAGAACTACTGTAAGGTTAACCCTGCTGCTTTAAATGTTTTAAAATTATTAACATTTGAAAACATTTGTAGAAAAGTAATCAAATGTAATCAGTTACATTACTTGAATAAAGTAACTGAAATAGTTACATTACTTATTACATTTTAAATAGGGTAACTTGTAATCTGTAACCAGTTAAATTTCCAAAGTAACCTTTCCAACCCTTTTAAACCTGTTCAGAATGCAATAAAATTAACAAAATGCTGTTGCTTACTACATTACAGACTGTATTCATGTCAAATGTGTACCGAAACTTGATAAAGCGATTAGCAGACCCCACAAAACCTTTGTTTGTTATGTTCCAATAAAAAACAATTTCTCACATATTGCACTGTTTTCACACCTGACTTTAAGACTTCCCCTACCATGCACAACCACGCTGATGTTAAACCACAGCACCACTGCGGAGACAATGTTATTCTCTGATTGCACAAGGGGAAATCAACAAATGTTCTGACCAACATGTGCGTCATCGCATCTGCTGTCATAACAAATCGTTATGTGGATATACCATTGTATATACTGTAGATAATACCTTAGATAATAAACAAAACATGTGCTGTGTGTATAGAAACACACAGTAATCTAATTCCTCATGCATTACCTCAGTCTTTATGAGTCAGCCACAAGATCGCAGCAAGATAAAGGAACTTTTCACGTTTGTACGAGCAAGGTTTACTAAAGAGAAAAAGTCACCTGTTTCTGTTCCTCGCCCAGGCCGTCCCACATGGAGGCCACTATTTTAGAAACCTCCCCAAATGTGGCATTAGGGTTTTGGCCTTTGATAGCTGCCTGCGTGTCTCTGAAGAACAGGGCATAGGCTGACACTGGTTTCTGAGGCTCGTTGGGGTCTTTCTTCTTCTTCTTCTTGGGGGTTTTGGGCTTCTTGGCCATGTCTGTGGCTGCTCTCTTCTCTGCCCCACTGATCTGAAAAGAGAGGGGCTCATTATAGTAAACAACAGATATCCAATTAGATTAAGCCATAATAACAGCTTTATGAATGAATCAGCTTCCTAAAGCTAGTTAGTGAGCCTTGTCTCCAAAGCCTGGAGCTACTTTTTAAATTTTAATGACTATCGTGCATTATTCCTACTGTATGTAACGGGTTCCCACGCATTTTTACCAATCATTTTCCATGACGTTTGCAGTTGTTTGTGATCACCGGATAACTATTTCTATAAAGACTGCAGCTGCAAAGAAAAATTTTTAGACAGTATAATATACAGCATCTATATGGCATTGTGATTATTACATACGGTTACAGATCTATTTACTTTAAAGGGCAAACAGATATTTCTAACCAATTAGGGGAATTTGAATTGCATGTAGAAATACCATAAAATGCACATTTTACAAGTAATTTTAGTATAGAAAACAGTCATTTTTGCATTAAAAATAAATATTTTATTATAGATATATTTAAACTATATATGTGTCATTCTAATATCTAAAATATCTAAATATTTATAAGCCTTAAAATAAAACAAAACTTAAGTTTCCTTCAAATAACATAAAATGTGTTTCCAAGTTCAGTGTGAAAAAATATTTTTAAGGTGTGTGTGTGAGTTACACTTTACCTCTGTAACTGTTAAATGATCTAAAAAGACAATTAATTTAATTACTTGTATGACAATTAGTCACCAGCCTAAAGCTTAATAATCATAACAGCGCTAACTCTAAAAATTTCCATGACATTTTAATTTAAGTGACTGAAATGTCAGACTGTGACACTTTATATAAACACGAATAGCTCGTAATCGTGTATGTTTACAGCTGTTGACGTTTTAATGCTGAACCATGTCTTCTGTGTTACGCAAAAATATCTTAGCAGAGCATATAAACGACCACACTTTCCAGAGGATCAGTACTGATGTGAGTTTTGGAGAAAATGTTCTGTATTTTGGCTGTGAAGAACAGACTTGAGGCAGATCAGTGTCTTAGCAAATCTATGTTTAAGGAAACATGGCAGTACAACTTGCTAAAAGGTCAGCAGTGACTCGTTCCTTTTAATACACTCTATTTTGCCACAGTGCATAAAACAGTCTATGTGACTGTGTGTGTGTGTGTGTGTGTGTGTGTGTGTGTATGTGTGTGTGAGTGAGGAAGATAAGCTTTTATATTCATGAGATCACAGAATGGGTAAAACACACACACACTCTCTCTCTCTCTCTCTCTCTCTCTCACCTTGGCAGCATCATCTGCATCGTCCTCATGCACGGAGCTGGAGGGGGAGGGTGTGGCTGACTTGCTCTCTGGTGGAGATGGGGATCCATGGGTGCCATTGTTGTTATTGAGACCCAGCTGAGTATTGAGTTGTGATTGGTTGATAGTGGTCAGCTGACCTTGAGGAACCATGCCAGGTTGGACCCTGGGTCTGAGCGTGTCCACCTGAGGATGGCCGCCGTAACGTGAGTCTGAGTTGACCATTTGCTGCATCTGGAAGATTAAAATAAAACTTAATTTAAAACAAAAATACCTAGATTTCCAAATGCATCTTTCAAATAAATGGAACCTCAAGGCGTTCTGTTGGTTGCAAGTTAAAGGAACGAAAGTTTGAAGCATAATGTTGTAGCAAAATCAACTTGACTATTGTTTTATTTAAAAGCAAACAAACAAACAAACAAAAACGGAAGTTACAATAAAGCACTACTAATGGAAGGGAATGGGGCCACTTTTTTAAAATCAGAAATGTGAAGCTTAAAATTTCAATTCATATAATATTATAAATATATATATATATATATATAGATCAAAAGCACTTACATTAATTTTTCTGTTAAAACTGCATTGTTTGAGGTGTAAATCTGTTTAAATCATAATTATCTTTTTAAGGTTTTAGGGTTTAAGAAATTTCATTGCCATGGCGATGAAGTTGTAAAATTATAACTTTTCATTGAAAGGTTAGTGAATTGTGATTTCTTCACATTAAGATCATGTTGTTTATTCCTTTCGCCTGTGACATTGAAACGTTGAATATTTTTCAATATATGCGAATTGGCCCCATTCACTTCCATAGGTTTTTTCTTTTTGTGGTAATCAACACTATGCCACAAAAGATGTTGATTAAGCTTAGCTTGGACTGAATCTGAAATATTCAGTCACACTTTATTTTAAGGTGCAATTCTCGCTATTAACAAACCATCACTATGACTTTTGCCTCAATAAACTCCGAATATAGTGCCGTTATTAATAGCTTGTAAGGTAGTTGTTAAGTTTAGGTATTGGGTATGATTACAGATGTAGAATATGGGCATGCAGAATATGTGCTTTTTAAGTACTAACCAATATGTTAATACTGTGCATGCTAATAAGCAACTAATAGTGATATAGTGAGAATTGGTCCCTATGCTAAAGTGTTACCAAATATTCATTTAAAAAGTAAAAGGTACTAGTCTTATTAAAACTAACCTCGGCTAAACAATAGAAATCCCTTGAAAGGTCTACATATACATACGAGCATAATCCCAGTGTTAACTAACACTAATATCTCCATCCATACCTTATGACAGGTTTGGGTTTTCTCTATCCTGCTGCTGTGAATGCTAGTCTGTAGCAGGGTGTAGAAACATTGCTTTTGTACACTGTATCTGGGGGATAAATCACTTCCGACAAGGACAAGCCCTGTAGCTGTAGTCTGTCACCTGATACTGTCTGAAGCAACAGGTGACCTGAAATGTACCCCACGCCCACCATTGTATGCAACACAATGCCCCCGACAGGTGGAGCTTTGGGGTTAGAGGCCACAGGCATTTCTCTGAAGGACAGGTGACTCTGTGTCTCCCTCCCCACATAAACACTTCAGACACACTGGACCCTCATTACTCAAAACATACTGAAATTGCTTTCTAACATCTCTTATTTGGAAGAGAGCCTGTGAGAGCACTGAATAATGCTAATGCAAATATTTCACATATTTCATACCGTCAGAAGCTGACAGTCACACAGGGAAAAGTAGTGTATAATAATGTTGTGCCATGCACACAGTATGTAATGCATTTTTGAGTGGTGCTGTGATACTCGGGTGTTCTGGATGATTGCCAGGGCTTTTATAATTTTTTCATTTAAATTAAGTGATAAATATATTTAAAATTTACAGTTTAGTTTTAAAAACAACAATAAGCCAACAATAAGACTTTCATGTGTTTAACTTGATTAATTAATTCAATACATAAAAGTGTTTATGTCGTGTCATGGAGCATCGGAAAGACTATTAATTTACGAGAATTCGGCATGTATCTGAAAGCAGTTGATTGGACGGATTAACATTACACAGCAATACGGAGGAAATTCTTCAATCCGTGCGGTTTTAGCGGCTAACTGACTAATCATAAACTAACACGGGTGAAAATGTCAAGTTCACATGAAATGGCTGGAAAAAAGATCGCAGTGGAAAACTGTTCAACTTTTCAGGGGGTTTAACCATTACAATGTTAATGGATAGGAGAAAGTTTCATTTTTCAGCGAAATGCGTTCACCTTCATTAATACGCTCGGTGTTTTCAGTATTATACCCTTCCCACTCGATTTCTTGTGAAACATCTGTATTTTCTTGGGGGGACTTTTTCTGCTATTTAACCAGACAATACCCACCCTGTGTGGGTAATTAGACAATGTGGTCAGTTTTGGGTAGAAAACACATTTCAACTTAAAACCACGCATGCTGATAAAGGTCACTTTCTATTTCTTGGTAAAACAAAACCTAGAGGCAGGACAAGCTCTCTGGCAGTAACTAAGCGTAAAATCAAAGACAGATTGTTTAATCATACCGCAATAACTAGCGAAATTTCCCAAGTTTACAGCGAGCGGATGCAAAATGGCTGCTGAAAAAAACCTCGAATCGCATTTGTCAGAGCGAGGTTGTGATGGTATTTATCATCTGAGCTCACCATTAATCTCCACTACACAGAGGACAAAGGCTTGCCAGGGATGAATAGAGGTCACGTGACGAGGTCACAGACAAAAGCCCTAAAGGTTGCCTGTTCTGCACTTTTTAAGTTTTAAATAACAAATGGCTGCCTGGGCTGGCTGTTTTTTCATCAGATCCACTGACCCGTGCTGCAAAGGAGGTCATATTCATTTGATATCAATTTCCTTTAAATCACAGGGCAAATTGTAATCACACGTACAGTAGGAGACTATTTGCATGCTTATCTTCCTATAATGCGCGACAGAGACGCATGAAAGGGACGAGAGAACCCCAGCTTTCCATAGAGTCCAATGACATTTTAAAGGGAGGAAAATAATGCCTACTTTACTCCGGCTGTCACTTCAGGGGCACTTTCATGTCCTTCTGTTTCCATTAAAAAGGTATAAATAGCTTAAGTGCTGAACTAGATCAGAGCCAATTGTTTGCTCAGGGTAATAAAACCACAGCCCAATAATAAGGACTTTTTCAGGCAGAGTAATGAGGGTGTATTTCACGTCCTTGCGTTACTGTAGATCTTTATAAGCTAAAAGACACGCTGGCTTTTTTTTACCCTTTTGATCATTTGAAATATATCGGCATAATCTTAGCTATTAATTTCTTTTGCTCTCGAGTTAATCCGCTTCAAAATCGCTGTTATTTTATTTATTTTTTGGCAATAATAACTTGTCACCGTCTACACGAAGGAAAACACCCAATATTTATGACATGCAGGAATACATATGAGAAGTGAGGTAATTTGGAGTATAAAAGCTTAAAGCCGTATTACACCATCTGTCATTTAGACATGCCAGAGTTTAATTGCTCTAGCTCCAATTTTACACGAGCACACGCAAATACCTGTCTCTTATTAAACTTCACTGTATATGATCTATGCGAAAGCAGCCTAATAGAAGTGGCTTGTCACGCTGCACTTTCAAGGTCTCAAATGTGCCGGTTTTGCAGCGCACAGCAAAGTGCTGCAAACTGTAGGCTTTGCTGCAAATTTACAATAAATGGAGATTTATGTCCATTACTGTTCCTTTTTTTTTTTTTTTTAGGCCACCGCTGGATGAGGATTTAGTGGCTTTTGCGCTGATGATGGACGATCTTGCTGCTTTTTGCCGCTCACGCCCTCTCTCTCTCCTCCGCTGTCAGCTCTGTTTAGATTTGCACATTTTACACACATCAACTTGTGCTTATTTAAGCGGACATGTGGCTTTCTGGAAAGCAAACCTTACCTGAGCGTTTCCAAAAAATTCGTCGCGTTTTATGCGAATCACCGAGCTCATCAGAACGGCCCGATGAGATCTCATCTCCCACGTTATACATTTAAAAAGCAGCCTTCCCCGTTTCTCAGAACTAGGGGATCCATTTAGCCATTCGGCGGCATTTACTTTCATTCTTTTTAATGGAACAAGCAGGGACGGTGAAACCTTATGAGATAATTTTCCTTTTAATCTAATACTTTTTAAGGTGAAGCACATTTCACTCAACTATCTCTGCTGGCTAAACAATGCAAGCTCTGAGACCTATAAAATGAATGCAAAATGTAAGAGGCACATAAATGCACTCTCTGTTCCACCAGAGAAGGCAGCTCCAACAGGCTAATGCAGAGAGAAAATTAATTCCATCAGCTAGCTCTTTCATTCTCCACTGCAGCTACAAGCTCTCTGTCCCGTTGCCTGGCAACCATAATTCATAGCCGCTCTAAATGGATGTTCTCCAAGCACTGAGAACATTAAGGTGAAAAGAACAAATGCCTTTGTGAATCTCAATATCTTTCAGTGTGCATGTCACTCTGTGTGTGTTTTTTTTAGCCACCCATGTGTATGTTATTCTTTAAAAATCTTTTTGATGGAAGTTTAAGAGGGGCACTACGAAGGTACATTTTCCCAAAAGAGCAACAAAAAAATCGAAAATATTGTTCGTACCATTACGACTGTTGTTGTACGACTGCCTTTGTGCGCTCATTTCCGATAAAAAGATAAATCATCTGTGCTTGTATAATTGAACAAAGGTCAAGATAAAAAAGGTTATTATTAACAGGGTTTATCACACACAAAAATAACGCTCAATATTTAGGTTTGTCCCCAAACATGGAGCATGTGGAAAACAATAGGTGAGAGATGAAGAGGAGAAGTTTCAGTTTGACTCGAGCGTCAGATTATTCATCTTCAACCACAGTTGCACAGCTCACCAGCACTTCATATGTGTCATAATCACATTATGAGGTTTCTTGCACTTGACCAAAAATTTAAGGTTTGGGTTTAATTTCTCCAGAAGTAGCAGCGATTTGTAGATATTTGTGATCAATATCGACATTTTATAAAGATAAGAGAAGGATAAAGTAACAAATTAAATTACTAAGTAAAAAAAACAAGTTAGCAAGCCAAATAAAATAATTTTGATGTGTAATATATCGATTTATATAATAAGAAAAATTAAAAATTAAAATTAAAATGAGAACCAGACTGAAAAACTTATGTGCACCCCTGTATATATATATATATACATCACACAGCATTTTGTAACTATATATACTGTATATGTAATATGTACTAATACAATGTGTGTGTGTGTGTGTGTGTATGTACTTTATACAGTATATGTTATTTTTTACATAATTTTTTACATTTATAATAATTAGCTAAATATTATATTGTAACATTTATTTAAATTTTTTTTTCTTAACCATATCTTTTTTTAAAGATTCAGTTGTAACTTTTTTTTTTTTCAGTTTTACTTAACCTTATTCTTCTGATTTATTTTATCTTTTTCTAAGTTTCAAAAGTTTTTAAAATGTATCTACAATTTCTGAATGTACTGTACAACTATCTAGTACAGCTATGGCAAGCAAAATGCATTAGGAGGAGTGCCTTGATGCTATATTATATTTAATTAACTTAATCCAATGGGGAATTTGGCATTGTTTCACTGTGCGTTAAATCACATTAGCTCTCATTTGCTGGGTGCTATCTCAATCATTCTATATGCCGCTCCAACCTCTTATAATCTCTGTTGAGGTGTTTCATTTGTGTCAAATAAATCATTGTTTGGGTACTGAAAATGACTTTGGTGTTGCATAATTCTTTCATGCAAAATGCATTAGTGACATCTCAAAGGAGAGCATGTGCATCTTACAATGAAGTTTCCTCCACATAGAAAGAAACTGTGTTTTTGGTCATTTTCCATACTAGATTACATGGAAGCACATTTCTGCTTCAGAGTAAAGAATATAAATAAGGTAACTGTCATTTTTTTTCTCTCACACTGTGACTCTTTCACGAATTGCACGAATTATCTTTATAAATTACAATGTGATCTATCTCAAAATCTCAAAATGTGACTTCATATCTCTCAACTGAATCTATATTATCTACATACTGTATAATTGCTGTTTTATATCTCACAGTGTCACTTTATAACTCATAAAGCGACTATATGTCACAATACGATTTTTAACTCGCACAATTGCAACTTTATTTCTCATAATTGTGACTTTATATCTCACACCTATTTTAAACTTTATCCCATAATTAGAGTAGTTGGAAACGGGCTTCCATCAGCCTCAGCGCCAGTACTCACCACTGAGAGGGAGCTGGTGAGCAGGCCACCTTCTTGACCCAACATGTTGGGGACCGACATGCCCGGCAGGTCCATTCCTTGCAGGTGAAAGGGGTGCAGTCCATTCTGGGAGACAGGGGGGCACAGGTGATGGTACGTTCCGGACTCAGACTCGGGCAAGTGTGCCAGCATGTGTTCGGGGAGGGTGGGGGGTGTGATGGGCGGGATGTTATAGTCTTCGTCCCCAAGACTGGGCACTGGGTAGGACTGCTGGGAAGAACAGAGACAGTGAGGTTACGTGAACCGTCAGAACACAGATTACATAAGTGTGGCTGCATGACAAAACCACCGTTTTTCAAAAGATGATTCATTTATGACTGACTGGTCATTAGTGATGATGAATACGATGCATTTTTCTCATCTATTATCATTTATTCAGAGATAAATACAATAGAATCTAATACAAATGGTATCACATCAGAAAAAAAAAGCACATTTCAACTTTAAAATGAACAGCGAGTGAATAGATGGTGAAATGCAATGAGCATTCTTGTCAGAGTGTCTCCAAAGGCAGCATGAAATGGCTTTCCAAACAGTTAGTCTGAAATACTGCACAATGGGGGGTGAACCGTAGGCTAGTACAAGGACAGACTGTCCATTTGATACTTATAAATAAGAGAATGAAATGGGTTACGGCACGACCAGAAAAATCTTGTTGAAAACCAACATTCTTTGATGTTCTATATTCTGCCACCGAAGCGATCCAGCAATGGCGATGATTCACGCTGTATCAATTAATAACAGAAAAAAGACTAATCACAACTATATACCGAGCAAATGAAATGCTGAATAAAGTACATCAAAGTGCACTGCACATTACAGTGATTCATTCCTACTATTTGAGCCTTTGAGGAAGTAAAATTATATGCAAATGGTCAATCAATCTCATTAGACTATAACAAAAGGCTGCTTTTATGAGGCTGAACAGTGACTTGCGCTTGGCTGTGAAGTTTGCTTTGGCTGCTTTAAAACAGGCCGTCCTGCGCTCTGCCTCCTCCAGCCCCTGTCAGTTTAGACTGTGATGAAAAAGATGTAAAGCAGATAAGGAGATGAAAGGCTGTACAAATCCAAGCAAAATCATCAATTATTCTGTAAACACTCCCTTGGAGTAAAATACTGTAGAAAAATATATACAGTTATCAGAAGGCAGAGAGTTTATTATCTGTGCACGTCGTGCCGAACGCTTCACGAAATGCTAAGCGCAAATGCGCCTCAGCCTCTGATTCGACTCGAACGCTCCCTCTCTTTTTTACCTTCAAAGAGGCTCCTCTTTTCTGCTGCTTTATTATCTCTAATACATAGCTTTTATTTGCAGCAAACTAAATGAACCTGTCAGACAGCCAACTACAGGCAATTAGGTATGAAATTGGTTCCAAATTCAAACTCAACTCAAATAACGGTCCAACTATTACTTTTAAGGATTGCAATAATCGTTTTAATGAGCTTCCTACTTCTGCCTCTAAAAGCCAATGTATCGTGCTCATTTGCATATTTGATTGTGTTGAGCCTCACAGATGTCTGCGTTTGTTTGCGGGAAATATGCTGGCATAATTCATACAGTAAGGCCCTTAGAGGAATGATTTTACTGCCAAATTTAAAAAAATAAATCACATAAAACAAAACAAGGCTTACATTGCTGTTGATACATGTGAGTAATGTACTTCTTGTCGAAGAAAAGGAAATTATTATATTCAGGTGAGAATTAGACAAATAAATAAGAGCAGGAACCGATGGCCGTTTTGAGGTGCAACTATGTTTGTGTGTTCTTCTAACACTTATATACGTGATGTTTCTTAGTATCCTGTCTTTCTTTTTTTGCACTTTCCTTTTTTTGTGACACTGAGATGCGTAAACAGGCAGCCAAGAAAGAGAACACAGGAAATAAATAACCCTGTGCTGTGGTGTGGTGTGTGGCTCTGAAAAAAAAGTGAAATGCACGAAAATTAAGAGCATTGCAAACATTTCCTACATCTGTGTGTTTTCGTCGTGAAAAAGAGAAGACTTTAGATGAGGCTGTGGATACAAACATATCAAAACAAAAAAAGAGAGAGAGAGAGAGAGAGAGAGAGAGAGAGAGAGAGAGAGAGAGAGAGAGTGGAAAGATATGAGGAGAGCTCTTGTGTTTTGAACATAGTGTAGTGAGTGAGTGGCAGAAATGCTTCACCAGCAGAAATTACGCATTAAATTATTGCAGCCTCACAATGGAGATGTAGATTGTTTATAAGCCTTCCATCTTGACAGGCTTGAAATCAGCTCGTCATTATGAAAGAAGTGCACACATGCTGAGATATGAGGTGGATGAGAAAACGTGAATTTCGAGATAAGAGATACGCCCCATCATTATGCCACAAAATGCATTCAAACAAATTTAGGAGATGCTTTCTGATAGAAATACAATTTAGACGGATGAGTGAAACTCAGGCTCAGTAACTCTAAAGTTTTAAATCAAATGTGTTTTGATCTCTAGCTGTGGTTTTGTATGAACCTTTTTCAATATTTAATAATCATCTTTTAATAACTAGTAATAAAATACATTTTTAAACACGATAAATGATAAAGAAAATAAAACGTACATACAGACAAATAAATGTATTCTTTTTTATTATTAATTATCTTAATAATAATACATTTTTAATTATTACTGCTATTAATAATACATTTATTGAGATTTTATATTCTAAAACTGCATTTAGGGCAAGTCAAATGCATTTAAAACACATGCAATTTTTTACAATTATATTACAATTACAACTGCTGAGTCGTGGCATTGTTTTGTGTTTCATAATTGTTTCACTGTTCAAATTTTGCTGAAAGCCTATAATTGACGGTGAAATGGCATTTTCGTTGTGACAATTTACCCCATAGTGTGTGACAATATTCAGCATTGGGGCAAAAATGTCAATGAGTGTTAAACGAGCTGTGCCTTTTTTCTTAGGCATTAGCAGTGCAACTCTTCAAAACGTTTTTTTTTCTAGACAACACTTTAAGGTATTTGCCTTTGCAGAAATTGACTTTCAGAAATAAACCTACTCTATTTAAATGATCTCTCCAGAGGACTGGCTGTGGATCATTACCCAGAGCTCCATGCGGCGCAATGAGCGCTCCAACATGTTGGCATGCCCTTCCACCAATTAAATTGCCAGCAAAAGGAAGTGTAAAAAACAGTAACCTGCACCCGCAGATGAGGCGGCTTTTTCATAACGTAATTTTGAATAATGAAGATGTCAGGTTAAATGCTACAGTAGTTAAACTTAATAAGGTACCCTATTTTTTTTCAGCCGGCTTTTCATTTGCAATCTAGGCTGGGATTGTGTAAGAGAGGCAACGAAAGCATTTCAGCCTGTAATGAATACCTCTGGGACCCAGGGGCGGTGATCATTTGAATGCAACATTCTTTGGCCAGGCCCCCAAAACAACCTCGGACCCGCTGAGCTGACGATTACTGTTGAGAGCTTCTGGATAAATGCAGAAGGGCTTGTCTGTCTTGTGCTAGCATCAAGGTCAAGCATTCTGAAGGAGGTTTTTACTTTGCCTAATGGAGGGGACACGAGGGCGTGTGAAGCCTCGTCTGACCCGAGCCGCCGCATCACACCCGGCGCGTCTTATAAACCGAACGGGATCAAAGTATACTGGCGCGGTCCACAAGCGACCACTCCCTGTCCGGCACGCTGCATCTATGCCTTTGAGCAGCTTAAGGCTCATGCATGCATGAATATGCAATTCAAGAATATCTGAATAATGCATATTATGAGATAAACAATGCTAGAAATAGTATTTAAGATCTGTTGAAATATTTGATAAATATGGTGTATATGAACATGGGTTTGTCTCAAGAGAACATTTTTTTTTCTGTATCTGAAATACACAAAAAATAAAACACATGTAAGAACAGGCCTCTTCAGTCCCAGGGGAGAGCACAAGGTTAGTTTATGCATGTTTAAAATGCACAGCTTTCTCCTGGTCCCACAAGAGCTCTGCAACATCTGGGGGGAGGGGGGTGGGGGATAGATATGAGCACCTCTATATAAACCCACACAGAAATCTGACAACCCCCCTCATCAGAGACTATATACATGTCAAACCATCACGGTGGGCAAATACGTTTCTGTGCAAGAAATAAACAAATAACACATTGTATCTGTGCTGCTCTTATAGTTAGTATAGTAATAATAGCAGATACACTTCCTGTATGCTGCTTTGCATCTTCTATGACACAGATCAGACAGTTTCAACCGAGCGAATGTGATGTTAAACATCAGTCTTATCAGGTTTAAACAAAAACCAACAGTTGTTCGGCGAACATTGCTCGCTCTGTGAGTCAAAGCGGGCACTTTCACAAGTAGTGTCTTTGAGCGTAGTCCAGAAATATGAGAAGTGTGTATATTTTTAGTGTTCGGTGAGTGTATGCCTGTAGTCGGCTTTATCTAGCATCGCTGGCACATGCTACTTCATCTTGTTGCCGCATTAAAATAAATAAACATTGATACAGAGCGCTTGTGGGCTGACATGCGCTCAGCACTCTGCCATTTTGGGTTAATAAATGTGGCTTTTATTTAATGGCCAAGAAACACATGGTTTGGGTTGGAAGAAGGGGGAATGAGAGGAGATGGTAAGATAGGAGAGAACCTGTGTGCAGACAGACAGTGCTGGCTGATGAATGCTCTGTGTATTTTAACATCTCATTGATTCAGTCTTTTTTTTTATTATTATTTTTGTTATTATTGTTATGTCTTTTAGAGAGGAACAGATCTCCACATCCAGAGATGTGGAGATGGATAACAGTATCACATTTTGTCACTTCAAGCAGCTACGAGGCTTTCAAAAGTGTTGTCAGTCAGTGGGAATGTTTTGAAGGCGAAAAGTCAGGCAGATTTCAACCAAGAGATTAACGGCAGTTTTTAAATGTCATTTTAACACATGCCTGTTTCCTTTATAAAAAGTCCCTCTCATCACCAGCTCAGTTAAATTTCCCTTACATTCAAATAATTTCTGTAAATTCTGTCCTCCAAGCTGAGAGTAAAGATGTAAACACAATAAAACCACTGTCAAGCATTCTGACAAGATTTAACTATATACTGAAGATTTTAATATAACATTTTTACTGTGTTCTTAGGCCAAGGGAATTTTCCATTAATACTATGTTGGGGCAAGTTGTCACATAATTCAAATTATTTTAAAATAATTATAATTTTTTTAAAATTAATTATTTCCTTTTAGTTTTATGTCTAATTACATCTGGCAAAGGGACTACCAATGAAAATAAGCCTTCAGGCTAAGTTGGGTACATTTACATTCATGAATGTTGATTAATGTACACTGTCCCTTTCATGCATACATACATAAAAATTCTTCACAATTTTTTTGTTTTAGATATTTGAATGTTACCTTCTACATTTTCGCTGTTTCAAATGTGTCATAATTTGAAACAGCAACACAATCCATTGTGACAACTTACCCCATGTTTTGTCCCCACTATGGCACGATGAACTATATATTTTTTTGGGATATTTTTCATTTTTTTGTGTTTTATTTATTTACTGAGACTTTAAGTTATGTGTCAATACAAAAACTGGCTTATTAATGACAACTAGTCCCTTATAGCCTAATATTTACATGTTCTTTTTCAGATCTATCAAGTACTCAAGAGTAAAACTGGGCCTGAATGGTGTTTCACTGCATTTGAAATAAAAAAAAAAAAGAAAAAGAGTTAAACAGTTTATTTGTCTATCCATTCTATTTTGTATGTTTAATCCAATCTAGTTTTGGCCTGATACACTACACACATTTTGGCACCATTTAGTAAGAGAAAAACAGCTCATTCAAGTTCATTACAAAATCTTACAGTTCCCCCACCTCCAAAATCCCAATTTAAAAAATACCGTCCATGATGCTTTGCTCTTTCATCTGCAACCATCTGAAGAGCCACCTCTAGTTTCAGTATCTCTGCACATAAATTACATCTGTAACGGTACACTCAACATCATTGATCTCACCAATCACTCTGAGGACTGGCTTATGAAAGTAACAGTGTCGTCCATACCGGTGCACAGACCACGGCAGCTTTTAGATTTTTAAAATCAACCTAAAAACTATCAGATCAAATCAAAAGTACTTCTCTAACCAGTCATAAAATAGCAATGATCCTAACACTTGGCCTTGGCCGCTCTCCAGGTTGCCTTTGGTTTGTATTATAGCGCAGATTAAAAGACACTATTGCAGTACATGTTTTGCCTTTAGCACTGAGGCTGCGGACGCTTTTCAGCTTCAGTTTTAGCTTCCTGAGTGTGAAGTTTAAAATAGGCACAGGGGTACACTTCTCTCTAATTCAGTTAATGTGTGTTTAAAAGCAGGAGAAAGCTTTGTGGCTATGTACCACACACTGAGGTCAAGGTGAATTCAACTGTTGTTGCCAATAAAAGTAATTACCTGTTCCCAACAGAGGGAAAGAGTGAAGTCGAGAAAGAAAGAGAGAGAGAGAGAGAGATGCGAGGAAGCACGAAAACAGCAGAAAATAGAGACTGCATCTCATAAGCAAGAGGAAGTAATATGTACAAAGAGAGTTTTAAGATTCAAAGGGAAACATAAAAGTAGTGCTAGACTCAAAGCAGCTCGAAGATTACAGCAATCCTATTCATACATGTGAAATCAATGTGGAGCTCAGTGGCAAATAAAAGTGTGATCTACACAACAATGGAGCGCAGGATGCAGGGACAAACATCGTCTAAAGACTGTATACAGTAAAATGGACCCTTTTTACAGACTTGTATTTTTGTATTTTTCACTTTTTTTTACTAGCTGGTTAGCTATTTTTTTCTCTTTCTTAATGTACATAATTGAATGTATGTTTATATAAGTGCCCTTGTTATATTACCTTGGAATTTAAAAAAAAAAATCTAGCTAAGTAGTTAGTACTGCTGCAAAGGAGTTCGCTACACAACATTCTCTAAATTAGAATTAGCGACCAAGATTACTGATAACATTTTCATTGTAAAATAGATGGATATATTCATGTACAAGGGACTTCTCTTCTTTTAGTTAGCTGGCTAGCTAGTTTGTTTCATATTCATGTTGTGTAAATGTTGATATGCTAATATGCTATGTTATACTATGGTATCGTCACATACTGTTTCTAATACATCAAATGAAAGTAAATTGTTGTAATCTCTCTATGTAATCTATCTATTAATCTTTTAATATTAATTTTATCTTTATTAAATCTTTTAGAAAGTCAAGTAACTTAGTTTTTGAAATAAATATTTATTTTGCATTTAAAGCAAAAGGGAAATTTGCAGTAACATTTGCTATGTTGTCATATAGGGTTTTTTAATTCATCCATCATAGGTCGATAACTGATATTTACTTGTGCTATTCATGTCCTCCCTATTGAAAAAAATGTATTTACTAGAATGTATTTGAAATACATTATTTCAAGTTAAATATACTACAAATACATTTAAATATTATGTACTTAATAAAAATACCCTGCGATTGTACTTTTTGTAAACTAAACTGGTATAGTTAAAGTCTGCTAAATGGGAACAATTAATTTTGTGCTTAATGCACTTTAATTGTGCGGAAGTAGTGCTGAACATATACTGAAGTATATTTGATTGTGCTAAAGTGGAACTATTGCAAGTATACTTTAGATATCTTGCATTTAAAGACCGATATTATTCAAAGATTATACAATCCTCATCAATAGTGACATTAAAACACATTTTAAGCTTAATATTAAGAAATGTCCATTCTGCCGAAGTAGTAATCCAAATAAAGTTTAATTATAATTTGTTATATCGGTAAGTCTCGAGCATAAATATTTTAATAGATTTGAACTACATTTTATTTTAAATATATAATTTTTTTACTAAGGCTCTGTGTTTACATTTCGATTAACTTTGCCGTCATCTAACACTCACTTAAAGTTAATCTATAAAAACACAGTTTTAAAAATTTGATAACACTGTTAAATGTAGGCCCATCTTTAAACCTTAAAAACTTAAAATGATTATCTATTTTTTAATTGTGTACATTATAATGTTGTGATGCTTTTATTACCTTGTAGCATTTAAAATGATTTAGACAAAATTGTGTTAATGTAAAAATAGCGTAAATGTAAAAAGGGTCCATATGGATGAGACACACACACAGCATGTAACACAAATAATGTAGGTTGCTGTTATTTTGCACTGATGGACGTCTGCTCGGCGTTGGTGTGGGGTTATTTACCCATGTCAGACGGGGGCCGTCCGTGTGTGTAGGGGTGTCTCTTTTCCAGTGGCCGCCGGCCTGTTTGTTGCTGTGCTGCGTCTGGCTGGGACTGGCAGGCACGCGGAACTACAGTGGGATGCAAGGCCAAGGGGTCAACCGACACAGCAGGGTAACAAGAAACTATAGCACTTGCAAGACTCCATTCAACTTTCATCACTCTTCAGTCCTTTTTTTTTTGGGCTCTGTGCTGCTTTAGATTCTCAATGCATCTTTCATCTCCACCGACATTAAAGCTGCAGCAAACATGCAGCGTGAGCACCTTAAACACAGTGACAATGCAGACAATGCACATTGTAAATCAATTTCAAGCTATGTAATAGGTGGCACAATAGGACCGTATGCAGCTTTTCCTGTTTAAAGAGGTATAAACTCTATGAAACAAACAAGTGACCTGTAATTTAGTGCACTTTCCTTTACATTCTCCTGAATGCATTTGCTACAGTCTGCTGAATAATACATGAGTCAAATATCGTTTATTTATTTTTCCTTTACACTGTGAATGCTTATTGAAGAGCTTTTAGGACTCGCATAAGATTATGTATATATATATTGTGTTTATATGTATTTCAAACACATAACCCAGAACGAATCATGTGACTTCAACATGACATCATAATTAGGCATGTGCATTTATAACTGTGTCTAGTCAGTAAATGGCAAGTGACAGCCTTTTGTTACAGTCAGCTGTTTACAAATACATATAAAATATTGATTGGTCAATAATTAAATGTCCACTGACATATTTGATTAAATTAGATTAGATTAGGTTAGACTGAATAGTTCCTTATATTATATTATATTATATATGTAGTTTGACCTCATTAGTCAATTGATTGACCAATATGACCCATGTTTGACCAGGTCTTTCTCTAACAAACTTAAAGATTCTTCTGTCAGTGCACAAAGAGCTCCAACTTTGTGAAACCGCAAGCGAATGTGTTCATGATTAAGATTAAATATACAATTTTCGACATGCGTGAGAAAGGTGTGAATTGCACCTTCACAAGTTTCAGCAGAACGGAGACCTGTTAAACGTTACTTATGTCAAACCAAAAGACAGGAGATGTTTTGAGCAGGCTGCCAAACCATATGGACAGTTTTTTCTTAAACCGTGTTTCATTATTAAATTTACTTTTGCAAATGGAATAATTATTCATAACACTTTTTTTTTACTTGAAATAAGAAAAACATAAGTGAGATGGGGAGGGAGGGGGTTGCTTTAGAGAGGGAGCTATTGCACATTACACTCTACATGTCTTACATTAAAGGCCAAACTCTGTGATCCACAAACAGATTGAATTCGGCGCTTTCATTGTGTTTACTGCGTCAAGGCACTTTGCAGAAAAGTTGTTTTTAACCGTAATATTTCAGCATCCCATTGTGTATAGCATTCGAAGTTTGAAATGTCAAAATGTAACTTGCTTAAATTTCATGGAATGCAAGCACATAGTTCAGATCAATGCGTCTATAAAAACAGGCCAAACCCAAACAGCTCATGACAAAAGCAGGAAGGAAATGTTTTAATAGAGCAGCAACATCACATATAGCCTGCTGCAGGCTGATAAAACTAGCAGGGAAAAATACTGCGGGAAAAAAATCCTAGTTACAATTTTTGCATATGCACACATGATCAGTCTGTCTACGGTGCATCGGGTCGCCTGTCACATTCATTTCCATAAAGCAGAATGTGGCAGGTGTCCTGTGGGCCGCTAATTAACCTGTAACCTTAATTCATTAGCCAAACGTGTAAAAGGTCCCCTAAGACAACCTGCTCTCCTCAAGCAGGCATGTTCACCCTTGACCTTAATGCACCGAACTGCATGCTTTAGTTTAAAAATGTAATCAAGCTGTGCTTTTTATAGCAAGATGTGAACTATCTAGCTTGAGTCACTGATGAAACAGCCTTTTATCTTTGTTGTTCGATCAAGCACAAGTATTCTGAAATAAACTTCCCTCGGTGAGTAACGGCTGTAACTAGAGGAGCAAATGCTGCAGTCTGCCTTTTATAGACCCGTGGCCTTGTTTGCAGTCCGTACTGTGTGTAGTTTTTAATGAAAGTGTAAATGGAGGAAATGAAAGCCTGCGACAATATGCATTAAAGCTTCATTTCATTAAGCTGAGACAAAGCTTTAAATGCTTTGTTTACATGTTATAATAGCCCCTGATTATGGTGGTGACTGATAGCGGCTCTAATTTGCGATACGCCGGCTTAAATTTGTTTAATTACGACTTAAAACAAAAGGAGCGAGCAGTAATTAACCCACCTGGTTCCCTGGCACAAAGTCCTGGCTGGGCTCTGGCATACTCATGAACATGTTTTCACTGTCGTACTGCAAACAGACAGAGAGAGGAGAAAAAACAATAAATAAACAGTCAGAAATGTTCACTTGACACACAATACGGGTCACAGAATGAGACAGAGACAGAGAACATGCGGTTGGTATTTCTGTGCAGTGCATTCTTCCCAAAACGCAGGGCTCAGAGACAATTAGTCTTTGAAGTCCCTGCCGTATCAGATGGAGATGTCAGTGATTTGATGTAATTAGTACACTGGTAATTAAAGTTGCTGGTTGAGGGGGAGAAATGAATGCTTTCATGTGCGCTGTGGAATAAAACAGAGGGAGTCGTGTGAGTTTGACAAGCCCACACAAGGATAGACCTGAGACTGTAGGACAGGCCCAGGTGTCTCACTCCAGATAGAAATGCACAAAAACCTGTTAATTTAACTTATTTTACCACCAACGGACCATTCTATCAGTATGAAAAGTACACACTGTGCTCATAGTATTGGCTGACAATTACATACAATTTTTTAGACTCTCAGAAAAAAGGTACAAAACTGTCACTGGGGTGGTACATTAAGCTACAAAAGCTAAATGTCTGTACCTTATTTACCCCTAAATGGTATATTTTAGTACTTTAAATACTAATATGTGACCCTGGACCACAAAACCAGCCATAAGTAGCACGGGTATATTTGAATGCAAAAGCCAACAATACATTGTATGGGTCAAAACTATCGATTTTTCTTTTATGCCAAAAATAATTAGGATATTAAGTAAAGATTATGTTCCATGAAGATGTTTTGTAAATTTCCTACCATAAATATATCATAACTTAATTTGGACAACTTTAAAGGCGATTTTTGATTTTTTTGATTTTTTTTGCACCCTCAGATTCCAGATTTTCAAATAGTTGTATCTCGGCCAAATATTCTAACAAACCATACCAGCCTCGAACACCTTGGCAATTGAATCGCCATTGGCTAGTAATTTACTCAATTTACTCGCCAGACTGATATATATATATATATATGTTTGTTTGTAAAATGGCACAGTTTTATAAATATCTGAAAGTACACTCTTAACATCAGTCAGTCAAGCATTATAATATGATAATCAATATTATTTAATGATAGAAATTTAGTAATTAGAATTAAAACTTGATAACCATGTATGAATGCATATTAGTCATTTTAACTGAACTTTGGACTGGTGGTGGTGCTTTTTTGGTCATTCAGTGTTTCTGTAAAAAAAATTAAAAATTGAGGGAAAACTAACAAAAATACTGATTAAGAGAATAATGATACGAATTCTACTAATAAGAACAATATAAAACGCACCAACTTGGCGGAGAGTGAAACTCTGATGCGCTCAGTCAAAGTGTTCGGCGAGCGAAAATATATCTGAGCTAAACTTATACTTAGCCTCCAACTCACACACTGGCGAGTAAAATCTGAGAATTTATTAGCCATTGGCTAATATTAGACATCATTTAGTCGCCCAGAGTGACGATTTAGTTGCATATGCGAGTGATTTACTCGCAATGTAGAGGGTTGCAATACATCAATGGAAAGCTTATTTATTCAGCTTTCAGTTGATGTATAAATCTCAATTTCAAAAAATTGACCCTTACGACTGGTTTTGTGGTCCAGGGTCACATATGTACTTTTAATGTACTAAAATGTACTTTTAAAGTGTACATATTAGTACCTTTTGAAAGTGTATTACCGCAGTGGCAGTTTTGTACCTTTTTTCAGAGAACGAAAGATTTTATCATTGGCTAACCACAATCGGTAAAATGAAGTGTGTCATTTTCTATACCACTAGCAGCACCAAAAAGACTCGTTATTTTTGTAATTCTGATGCTGCTGCTGGCACAGAAAATACCTACATGCTTCACCTTTGCAGTCTACGTGGAATAAAAATTGACAATATTTACTTGATTCATTAATCTTCCTATTTATTTTTTAAATATTACATTTGTTTAGTACTTACTTTATTTAGTAAAACTTAAAAATATCAAAATAACAATATTATAATATAATTAATAATATATAATTAAATATATTTACTGTACATATTTTACATATTAAATATAAATTTAACAAAGTGCTCCACTTCTGAAACAACTTGCCTTTTTTCCTTCCAGCAATCTGGCTCTATTGTGGCATGTAACCAGCAAGTAAATTAATTCCAGATGAATAAATTCAAGCCTTTTTTCTCATTGAATATCCTGTTTCACTCAGAAATACGTCAGATTACAGAAGTAAAATTGGTTGTTTGCTCATGGTATTTCATGTTGACTTTAAAGTTCTTCTTGAGTTTTAATAAGGTACATTTATGAAACAAGAACTGTTAATCCATCTACTCGACCTACATGATAAACAGAAATCAATCAGATCAGAGCCAGTGTGTCTTTTACAGTAAACCTGCAGCTTGTGATTCACCTGCTGAAGATGCTCAAAACAGCCTCAGCTGAGTCAGTGCAGGTTAACTGTGTGATGAAGGAGAATGAGCCTGTGACCCAGCTGTGCAGCACACCTGGGAAATTACAGCAGCACACACTGGCTGCCAGCTACAGTCCACTAAGCAACACACAGACACAGATTCTGCTGATACGCCTGCCTGACAAATACCCGCCAATTTACATCTGCTCCACTTCCTTAAAAACCCATGAAAAATGACTGATTAATATCAAAAGCAGAAATCAGATATGTTGTAAGTTGGCTGTGAGGGAATGGTTTTCTCAGCAATTGGTCCTTGACAGGGTTGTCATTAACACACATCATGACACTTATTTGAGTGCTACGAAAGAATGAGAGAGGGTGTCACGAAGGAGAAGAGACCGAGTGAGAGGAAACTCATGGCTGATGCCTGTCACTGGCTGAATGTTTGTATTTCTGTTCATCCGAGCAGCACATCTCATTTCATTATGCCTGCTCGAGATAATTCTATGGAAATGAAATGGCAATAATCCTAATGAAAGCCTATCACATTGCGACCTTTTAAGTGTGCGAGTTGATGGGCCGATCTGATTGGTTTTTGCACACGGATGACAGTTAATTTCATGCTAGCTTATTGATGGTGATTAATGTGATCAGGCTGATCTAAGATGTGGCTATTCTTAAACTATGAAATGTGCTGTTTTCTGAAACCACTACAACCTGGTCATAAGCCTCTAATCATAACAAGGAGAAAATGTTTAAAAATGTTGAAAAAGCATATAATTTTTCAGCTATGCTGCAGTTATTGGTTTTAGACCGAGTAAGTCCCGCCTTCTAAATTAAAGAGCCAAATGCCAGTTGAAATCCCATAGAAAGAGTCACTGTCCTGAGACTTGTGCTTTGGACTGCATACACATACTGGCAGGACCAACCTGAAATATGCTTTTTGAGCATAAAAAAATAACATTTATGGGACAGTTCGTGTTTTTGAGATTTCAGTATGTCCCTATTCTCATTACTCTAAAAAGCATCAAATACAGTAAAAATACAGGTATAGGTACTTTTGGTATTGCATAAACGATTAATTATTTTAATTGTTTTTTTGTTTTTTTGCAATGCATTATGGAATTGCATTCTCGGTGCTTCCTTAGATTTGGGCCTAAAAAGATGTAAACTTTATTTTTAGATTAATCTTCATGTCAGTATAGCGTTCCAATGGCGTCTTGAAATGCAGCCTAAGTAGGGAGCTCACTAGGTTTTAGAACAGAACCAATATGTCGCAGCATTGGAACAAGAAAACAATAAGCTTTGACAGTAAATACAACACCACAAAACTGCTTGTGTCTGGTTCTACTCTTGGTTATGCTGATTAATAAAAATTCACTCCTCATCTCAATACCACTGTCTCTCACTTACATGGCAGCCAGTTATTTATAACAGAAGGTCCGAAACGCAGCCGTTAACACCATATCCATTTTTATAAAGATTCTCTCTAGTTTCTCACTGCGGTGACCTTTCACATGTCTCTCTCGGTGTCCATGCGCTGTTCTATCTGCTTAGCTCTTACCCTCTATCAGACACTATTTGCATATGAATGTGCCAGTGGAAAGTGTGAGGCGGCCTTTGCTGAAAAAGTGAAACCTCAGAGCTAAACCCATCAAACTGACACCAAATCCATCCAGCAACAGTTGGCCAACACCCTCCCTCACCTACACGTCGAACGCGCTTTCGGAGCAAACTCCATTTAGCGAGCTGTACGGGCCGATTGTGACTGAGGTTTTCCTTGATTCGTGTGAACTAGGGTTTCTCAATCTTGTGGCAAGCTGGGAGCCATTTTGTGTCACTGTAGCTTTTCTTTCAGAGCCTGAGGTGCCATTACATGACCAATAAAACCACAGCCAGTGTAGATTGCTTTTCTAAAATCTGACAGCTCCACTCCATATGCTACTTACACAAATTATTGCATTATTAGCAAAAAACGCCACAAGAGTCCATCGTCTAACTACAAGGCCGCAGGCATCAGCTACATCCTAAAATAAACAACCGTTTTAGTGTGAAAAGCAAGAAAGTATCTGTGCAAGCAGGTCAACAAACGGCTACAATGTGCATTTGGCAGCTGCCGTGCTGATGCAAATGAGCTATCAAATAACAAAAACAACAAAAACAAAACAGGGCCTAATGGCTGCGGGACTGTAAATCGATCCCTTCCACACTCCGCCCCGAGCGTCTGGCAGCTTCATAGGAAGCTTAGGTAAAAGAAATTGATCCCAACTGACATGACCACATGCTAACAAATTCCTCATTATGATTAATAGGAAGTGTTCCTCAGGGGGAGGTGGGTAATGACATGCTAGTGTTCTCCCAGAATAATATTAGAAAGTCTGTGGCTACACTTATTAGCTCTGTAATTAAACTGTTCATCCTTAAATGACTCCCCTGGTTCAGAACGACGAGGCCTACGGGCCAAAGTGTGTGTGTGGGGAATGAACTGTGGCCAGGAATGTGTTCATTCACTAATGCCCGTATTTATCTTACAAGGGGTTTTCTGTTCATTTATTCTAATGAGTGTCACTGGAGGGTCTCGGTGTCGACGGTCGATCAGAA